GACACGCCATCTTTCTTTTCTTTATAAACACTTTGTTCAATGATAATCTTATCCGAAGTGACTAACTTTTCATCTTTAAGTTCTTCAATAAGGTACTGTTTGGCTTTCTCTGAATTTTCTTTGATTTTATCGGCTTGATCTTTTACCACTTTAACGGTTTTCGAACAAGAGCAACCTTTATTAGCGGTGACGGCTGCTTTCTTTTCTTCGGTAATTACTTTTTGGGTACTCTTCTCAACTACAACTTCCGTTGATGCAGTGATTAATTCTTCCTCTAATTTTTCATCGTTAATTTGCTGACTTAAATACTCTTTGGCTGTTTCTTGCTGTTCTTTGACTTGTTGAGATCCAGTTTCCGATAAATATTCCGAGGCAACGTCAATGTCGGACACGACTTTGGTTAATTTGATAGAACTGTCGGTGTTTTGAGCTGAAACATCATCTTTGACGATATCAGCGGTCGTCTTTGATTGGAGGTTTACAAGCGCTGAAGCTTTCTCGATTTTCTTTTCTTCGTTATTAGATGAAATGACGCATTGGGCTGTTTCTACGGTGATCGATGATTGAATTGCTGATATGGTTGCCAACTTTTCGGTTTTCTTCGTTTCTTTTGTTTGTTTGAGGGTCGTAAAGGAATCCTTGAATGTTTCATCCTCTTGCAAAGTCTCCGCGTCAACTTCGAACCTTTTCATGATGAAACTCCTTGCAGCATCAAGGACTTCTTTTTCGACTTGCTCATCATTCACTTGTTCACTAACCCAAATAGCAGTTTTTTTATATTTGTCAACCCATTCGCCTCGGTATTCAACAAACACGTATCTCAAGTACCAAATCATTACAGCTGAACTATATACGTTTGCATCGAGTTTTGAAGCTTTTGAATAAATAGCAAAATGTGTTTTGAAATGTTTCTTCGCCTCTTCGGCTGAACTGAATCCAAGGGATTCGGACAAATGATCGTGAAGTTCGAAATAGCCCGAGTCATTTTGATAGCCAAGCAAACGACGTACGTGACGTATGGTAACAGTACGACGAGTGATCATCGATTTCTTTGATGAGGCTATCGAATAGTGAATTAAAAAATAAATAAATGAATAAATATAAAAAAAAAACAAAAATATATATATATATATATGTGAATGAACGAATGAACGAATAGGAAAAGTTACAAACGTACCACTGACACCGAGACTCTTTTTTTGCTCTTCAATCTCCCATTCAGAGATTTTAAAGTGTTCAATGACAAATTTATTGGCCAAATTGTATAATCGCTCTTCAGTTTCAATATTGGTGACATTTTCGCTCAGGTAAGTTTCAGTTTTTGCGTAAACTGTATTCCACTCTCGTCGATGATCCCATAATAAAGCTTTAAGGAATGCTATAAAGAGAAGGAATTACAGAAAGAGATAAGTAAATTATCTGATTCAATTAATAAACCTAATGATTTAACATGATAGTGAAGTTACCTGTAACTACTGCCGAAATCCAAACATCAGCATGAAGTCCTTTTACTCTATCTTCATTCTGTACATAAGCGGCAAATGATTTCATCAGCTCATCTTTGGAAGAAAAGTTAAACAAGCTTGCTACATTGTCAGTTAATTCAAAACAACCATCTTGACGTTGATAAGTAATCAAAAGATACAAATGTTTGAGGGTGATGGTTTCTTTAGAAATAGGAGTTGTAGGTTCGGATTCCAATTCGGAAAAGGAAATAAAATCGGCAGTAAAATGAAGCTTTCCTCTAATAGATCCTTTTAATGTCAAATTGCACTCAAGATCTAAATGCTTTCCTTTAATGGTCCTTTTACGAACTTGCATAAAATCCTTGAGATCGAGAAAACAATATCCCAAAAGTTTATGTTTGAAGAAAGCACTATAATCATAAACTTGCAACTTGAATTGATCATCAAGATCATTAATTGGAATGTAAATCACTTGTTGCCATTCTGGTTTGATTGATTTATAAACAACACGGGTTTTAACATATTCCACTCCATTGAAAACACTGGTAATTTTTACATAAGAATCAGGATCACCACCACCAAACCAAAAGTCGGTAGGCATGAGATCTTTAGCTTCGATAATATTAATTCGGGCAATACCATAATATTTTTTAACTAAATTTTAAATGAAAATAAAATTAAGCGAATATTTTAGGAAATGAACCTAAAAAAAAAATTGATAAAGTAAATTATTTACCAGGAACTTGCAATGCCTCCTCATCGAACCACTCACTATCCAAACCATTTGACAGTATGATTTTGCTGATAAGTTATTAAACCGAGATCGTAAAGAAAAGTTTTTTTATGAGACAAAAGATGACTCGTTAGTATTCAGATACTATTTACATAAATAAAAAGATCAACAATAAAGTAAATAAAATACCTGAGATATGGATTAAAAAACATGCATTCGATATTGTCATGTAATGAGATTTTTGCAATATTTTCATGACAAATAGAACAAGTTTTATCACAACTACATTTGACATGTTCTAATTTAATTCTCTTAGATCTTTGATTCAAGAGCATTGGGTGGTAATTAATATTTTTTGGTAGATACAAACTAACATATTTTGGATTTTGATGTTGTGAAGTAAGTTCTTCAATATCGGCAAATGGGTTTCTATGCAATATTTTGTCACGTTTTCTAACTTTAAAAGGAAGCAATTCATAAGCATTAGAAAAAAGTGTATAAAAAGTAAAGCTTGGTAAATTGACATAACGTTTGTTTTTTTGACAGTAAGCAAATGCGGATAGACCATATCTGTCTTTAACCTTATAAAAATGATGACCAACAATAAGGGAATAATCATTTGGAGAATCTAAACTGGTTAATACGGGAATTCCAATACAAGGGGGAACACTTTTGATGGGTAATATCTTATTCATCATAGGTTGATTCTTTGTTGTATTAAAATCATTTTTTAGAACTTTCAAATGAAGGTTAAAACCTGAAAGTAAAGAATTAAAAGATGAAAAGTTAGTCACTTCGGATAAGATTATCATTGAACAAAGTGTTTATAAAGAAAAGAAAGATGGCGTGTC